TTATTATTAAAGCGTGTTATTTTCCTTTACCCCACTGCCTACAGAGCCTGAGTCTGTGTCGGGATCTCCTGCTGCACAGAACACGAGAACACTGCCACGGCAGGTTTAGTAACTAGCAACATATTTGTGGAGGAGTTGTTACTGTTTCACTGTGTTTAATCCCTGAAGAACTTGTGTACATTTATTAAATTCAAACATAGAAGATTGTAAATATATAGTAAAATGTTGGTAAATGGAAGAAGACATTAAAAGGGTTGGTATTTCCTGTTACAGTCAACTCTGTCTGTCTGTTAGCAAAATATCTCATGAACCACTGGACCGATTCAAACYAATTTAAGGATGTACCTCAACAACTGATTGGCCAATTCAATCTAAGATGGCTGCCTGGGCAAACTAACTAATGCTTCAAATTCCATCAGTTTCACAGATATTGCTCTAAACTTTGGTGCAGTTGTGGCTGAAAGTCATATATAACAACATACTCTAAGTGCTACTCATTGCATGAGCTAAAAGAATCACAAGATGTTCATCTTAAGCTGATTCACCTTTGAAGTCAGTCCAAACAAAGATGGTTGCCGCAGCTAATTAACTAACACGAAAGTTGCTACACCTCTGTCTATAAACCATTGCAAAGTTAAAAATTGTTACAAATGGGCAAAGCTGGCTGAGCTCACGTTAAACGGGAAAATGCTGAGGCTATGGCAGTGCCATTGGAATTGAAAAAATTCAACCAGTAAATTTATGCTGTTTTACAGATCTGATGTATGCTCTGAACTGAATCGTCCTAAACTTTCCTTTAAAATCATAGAGGAGATTTTTCATAAATATCTAGGCTATAAGTCTGCTTTTTGAGCTTGTTCAATTTGCACCAATTGTCTCTTCAAAGAAACCTCATTTACCAATTGACCTGTGACATGGAAGAGTTAGGCTTTGTTAATACTCGTAACTACCAAATGATATATTTTACATGTTTTGAGCTAAAATTTGATGTGGTAGCTCAGAATCATTACTACCATACTCTATTGCATGACATCTTGAAATATGAAGCTGCACCTTACAATGAACTCATAACCTCCCTGTATAAGCTATCAAGGGTTGTCTTTTTTTTACGTTTCATGCAAAATGTTCTTTATCTGATGTCAGAATTTATTTTCAGAGGAACAGCTTGTATTGAACACAAAAGCAGTGAAGAAAGGTTTGAGTTTTGCTCCGCTCAGAGCAAACAGGCAGTCAGGTCTGGTCAGTGGGAGAGCAGATCACTTCTTATGGGCTGCTCTGCTCTTTGTTCCTCAGGTGAAAGTTTTAGAAATGGACTCATATTTCATAGCTGCTCTCTCACACTGCCAGCCTAATTATAGCCTCATTCCTTTCACCAAAGACCGACAAAAAAAGGAGAAGGAATTACAGACAGGTGATTGAATTTTAGATTCTAACGTGATTAAGGACTGTAATAATTAGACTGCAGGTGTGAGGATTTAATTTGAAATTGTTCGCGTTGAAGTGAGGCCACTGTAACCAGAGTTTAAAAAAACGTATCTTGAAGAAGTGATTAAAAAAGTGGTTGGCCACATTTTCTTCCTTTTTTTTTCTTTTTGTGGTTTTTGGCTATCCCTACTGGTGTCACATGCTCTTTTGTAGGAGTGCAAATTGCCTCCTCTGCACCATCGAGAAACAAAACATTGCACGGAGGAGGAGTAAAAAAGATGCACGCAGCTGCTCCAGTTGAAAAAAAAACAAAGCAGTGTGCTGTAGTAGCATGCCACAACTACCCCATCTAGGTGAGGTATTATTTCAAAATGTACCAGTCATTACGACCGCTGATTCACTTAAGTTCTGCTGGGAAACACCTGCAMCCTRATAGACGCCTTCAAGCACCTCTGAAGAGCAGTCAGACTGGCAGCAGCTCCTAACAGTGACCTTGAAGCTACAGCTGGATTGGGATGGCACATGCTACTAGCTGCTACTCAGGGCAAAACGAAAAATAGTCCAAATGTGAGCAGCACCAAGAAATCTCAAGTATAGGGTCTCTGCAGTCACTAAGTGGGAGGTGCTTGGTAACCARGATTGGTGAAGTTTGGAAAACAGGCAGTTTCTTGGGTGTGGGTGGAGTTTGAAGACCYTTATTGGTAGGGTTGACTTGTGAGGGAAGTTGAAAGATGTGATTGTTAATGGTGTATAAAGGTAATTATTAAACTTAATGAGAACATGTAAATGCCATTTATTGCTTTGGTGCAACTAGCACCTTCCTGTCTCATGTTATGACTAATATTAACATTATTCAAAATTTGCAAACTTTTTATAGGTGCTTTCTGGCCATTTCAARCMAGCTGAATTGTTACACTTTCCCCCAGCTGTGTGGCATTCATCCAACCGAATCGTTGAGGTGTCTTCAAACCCCACCCAAAACAGTCAATCCAACCAATCACATAGGATTGAGACCCTTTTTTATGTAAAACAGGGACAGATAAAAGTYGTGATTTCTCACTTTAGCTCACCTGTCTGTGGAACGTTTGCACCCAGRGATTATTTGTACTAATAATTTAGTCTCATTTTCATGATTTATCTATAAAAATTACATTTTTAATTTCATTTTTGGTAAAAAATTTCAGACCGTTGATGTGATCAAATGTATTTTTTATGAATGAGCTGATAAGCTTTTTTAAAAATTGTGTCTAAATCGGAGGCTGTTACATCATTTGATTTACCTGACAGGTTGGAGAATTCTGCATAATACCAGGTTTATATAACAATCTGATCCATTGCAGATCAAATTTTCTCTCAGATTACCCGTTATTTGAACTCTTAAAGAAATCACTCACGAGATGACACACTGAAGAGGCTCGTCTTTAAAGCTTTGAGGAAATGGCGCAATGATCAAAGAAAGAGCAGCAATACGGCTTTTCCCCCCCCTTTCTTCTGTCTTTGCGTTTGATTTTGGCTCTCAGTTATAGAGCAGCGTCTTTCGAGTCCCTTCTGTTTTAGAGTTTCAGCCAAACTCACCCACTGACGGCTTACACCTTCTGGAGTGACACGGCGGCGTGATCAACAAGGCCAGTGCACAATATAAACACAAATCCTTGCTTTTAAATCATCCCGTGATGCCCAGGCTGTCAAAAACACTCATTATCATTCAATGGAAACGCCACGGCTCACACTCACAACACCAGATGGAGTCTGTTTCATCTTTTTCCAAGCATAAATACTTATTTGACTGTTGTTGCTTGCGGGGTTCTGAACAACTTGTTTCAGAGGAGGCTGTCAGAACCTGTTGTTTGGGGTGTAATTACACTTGTAACATGACCTGATCACTGATATTTACACGGCTTATAGTCGTATCTCCAAAACTTAATCTTTATCTTCCAGCGGATGCAGCTCAGGCAGAGGCGCAGCTACTGATGGGCCTGGGAGGGCCTACACCCACCCACCTTTAGACAAATTAACTCAAAGTTTTTTTTATTGTTATTTTGGGCACATAAAAATATAAACAAAAAAAATATTCAGCACAGGGTGAGTCAAAAGTTACAGGACATCCTTCGGAAAGAAAAGGGAAAACGACTGTTATGGACTAATTATCTATCTGTGTCACTTGTTCAATGTTAATCTGTGTTGGCCCAGACAACAGGACTCCGCAACGGACTGACCTCTCTTGTTTGATAAGACACCCTTTGAGCTGGGAGCCCTGTGATAGGCTGGACAGTATATTAGGCGATCTGTGATTGGTTATAAGCACGTCATATGATGTTATCATGGTGTATATTATTGGCTGTGTCCGCTGACGTGTCAGCGACGAGCCAACAGAACTTCCTGATTAAGTCCTGTTTGCCTGTTGCTCAGAATTAAATCATTTATGACGACCATACACGCAGACTTTTCTGGCATTATTCCAACGTGTTTCTGCTTTCACGCGATGACGACACATCTGAGTACCCCAGCATTGATAGGTGAGGTGGCCTATCAGATCATAGCCGCCATATTGGTTAAAAATAAAAGGGTGTCCTGTGACTTTTGACTCACCCTGTAGATTGGCTTGATTGTAAAAACTGGCATCTCCGTGGTTCCCAAATTTGGATTCAGTGCGCCACTGACTAGAGATGTGATGTTCACAATCTTTCAACGTCTATTTACGAGTGATGGGAACTGAGTCATGGGCAGAAAAGCGCCTTTTTGTTTGTTTTATTTTTTTTRCTTGTACTATCTTTATTTTTTCATCCTTTACACCAGAGACAATCGTTCCCGTAACACTTTTTCATGGAAAACAGGCAGAGTGGAGGACAGCAGCTCTGGGGGAAAGGGGGAGGGGTTTCCCCCTTGACAAAACATGGTTCCATTAATGTGATGTGATCTGATGTATTTCCCTGCATGATGATGTAACTCAAACTTATGTTATTTTAAAAATACCCAGAATTCTACTCATCAACTTAGTTTTTTTTTTTACATTTGATTTGCGAGATTACTACAAAATTTAGCCAAAGCACACTTTAATTCCCTTCAGGCTCAAAAGCTTATTAATGAAACAAACATAAACTGATGAATATTTACCTCAACCACTGAATAAAGTAGCGCCACTCAAACGTTTGCTGAAAGTTTCCTCATGAAACCAATTTTTGGGGGTTCAGTTTACAACTTTTCACGTTAGTGTAAATCCAGAATCTTCGATTTTAAAGCTTATTTGTTTGTTTAAATRGAGACACTTGGACTTGGCATCACTTAAAATATTGTTTTAAGCTCAAAAATAGCAAACTAATTTGTTTTGAATAAACTTTATCGTAGTACCTTTAGATTTATGAGTCTGAACAATTCTTGAACACAAGTTTTCATGTGTTTTACAGGTTTTGTTAAATTTGGTGGCCCACCCTCTCTCAGTCAGGCCCACCTGCACAGACCAGGAGGACAGAAGTGATCCATGTGGGCAAATTAAACTTGCTCTATTGATCTTCACTGATTCCTAAAATAGATTTCTACAACTACACTCTCAGAGCAGAGGGTCCGTCTTTTCTTACCACTTGAATTCTTGCCACAGATGAGGTGCTGGTAGGGCTGCAGCAGACCCCAGATCTCCGAGTCCCCGTTGATGGCTTGCTCCATGGACTCCAGGGTGATCTTGGGGATCCCGTTGTCCCTCTCCACCAGCGCGCTGCGCACCACGCGTCCGAACACCTCCCGGAACAGGCTCTCCACGCAGGCGGTCAGGTAGATGGCCGCGTGCTCGTGGATCCTCAGGGCCACCCGGCTGTCCACCATCCACCTGAAGAAGCGGCCCACGGAGAAGACCAAGCCGCAGCGCGCGGACTTGCCCCGGCTGAACCTGTCGCCCGTGCTCATGTTGTAGAGGGACAGCGCGCTGAGAGCCGCCGTGATGCAGTTCACCGAGATGGTCCACGAGAGCACCACCTTGATGGCGCTTTGGATCTCGTGCTTGGTGCACTTGGCGTAGCGCAGGCTGAGGCGCTGCGCCTCCCGGGCCACCCTCACCAGAGCCCGGCCGACGAGCGCGGACAGCCGCGCCAGGATCTCCGGCGGAGGGTTCCCCACCATCAGCTCCTGGTCTTTCCTCAGCGCGCCCTCCACCTCTCCCAGGCTCCACGGCACCTCGTCCAGCTCGGGCAGCTTGGCGCTGTGTCCCGAGCCCTCCAGGATCTCCGTGTCCTCCGCCAGGACGGTGTTGACAGTGTCCAAGCTGTTGTGTCTGCTGTGCATGGATTCCGTCAGATGCCAGTAGTTGCCCCCATGCGGGATGGACTGGTGCGTGTCGGAGCAGCAGAGCGACACGCTGGACGACCTGACCGAGTCCGCGGCTCCACCATAACCAGAATCGAGCGTTAAATCCTCCAGCGTCCTCACCACGGTCTTATCCTTGCCTGCCATAATTGCACCGCATACTGTTGGGTGTCCTTGGTCTCTCGGCTCAACACAAACTCGTTTTCACGCCTCGGATATCTCCGCCTCGTTTCACGCGCGCAGTCCCACGAAGAGTCTGGATGTTCAGCATCCGCTTTTCTCCCCCGCCTCTCCTCACTCCTCTCCGAAGTAGGATTCCCTGGATCTCCGCGGTGTCCACAACTTTCATCCGACCAAAGCGCACAGAGAGCCGTCCGCGCGCACTCCCCGCTGCAACAAGCGCAGCGCGCAGAGGCAGGGCTCTGATGGAGAGAGGAGGAGGAGCCAGGGGGCCCCCCGGGAGACCCCCAGCAGGAGGCTGCAGACCAACCAATCCAGGACTCCTTTTCAGCTTTGACGGACATGCGCCCCGGCAACCTGCTGCCTCTCCTGCACCTGGAGATGCTCGTGCCAATAATCTGTTGGAGCTGCGGCARCACGTCACGACAGTCAGGATGAGAGGAAGAGTCAACAGAAACTCAGCCGATTGTGCATGTCTGTTAGCAGAATATCTCATCAACAAATGGACATATTTTAATGAAACWKCCAGGAAACATTCATTGATGGCGCATCTACAACTGATTAACTTATGGAGTCAAKTCAACWCAACGAGGCCGCCACAGCTAAGCAAACTTCATCAACACAAAAATGAACACAACTCGATTAATTTTATAGATATTAAGCTACAGTTTGGTGTGGTAGTAGTGGAGACTGATCCATAACACATATTCTGAGTGCTAACAGATTGTGCAATGGTTTTATTGAATAATTTGCGTCTAAATATTTGAAATCAACTAAGTTTGTCTGTTAGCAAAACATTTAATTAAAAACTGGGCACATTTTAATGAAACTTTCAGGAAATAATCACTAAATGTGCTTCTATAAGTTACTAACTTTTGGATGCAAATCAACGAAAGGTGTCCAACACAGGTCACTGACCCAAACAGAAATGGTCATAAATCTGTCACTATAGATGTTGTAAAATTAGTTATTGTTATTGTAGCTGAAAGTCTTGCACAGCATTTATCAGCAAGCGTGACATTTTTGCAATATTGCATAATATTTCAGATGGTCTTACTTTTTGGTGGAAGCTCCATACACTCTAAAAATGAAATGTTGGATTTACTTAACCATGTTATGTTACCTGGTTCCACTGAGTTGAGTAAATTCAAAGCAACATACTCATGTTCTTTGGTTAAAAAACTGGTATATTGCTTTGAATTTACTCAACTCAGTTAAGTGGAACCAGGTTACATAACATGGTTAAGTAAATCCAACATTTCATTTTTTTACAGTGTAGTTTCCTGTCAACTAATATCTGATGCTGAAACAGGCAAATCGTCATCYAGCATCTTTGGCAGCTAATGTATATATTATGTTCTACTTTTATAGTGTTTACAAATAATTGAAATTATGGATTTATCTATGCATCTATGAATTTTTGTAGGAACAATATAGATTTGAATAAATCAGCTCCAGAAATTAGTCATAGCCCAATCAAATTTGCCTTTATTTGCAGGTTTTGGCACAGACTAATGCATAATCTTATTAATAAACCAATATCAATTAGATGGGAATGATTGTATAAATATTTATAGCTTTGTTCTTCTACTCACAGTAGTCAGGTACTCAAGATGTTTTCCCCACAGCAATATGAAAGTGTRCTGCCAGATAAAACATTAACTTTCTGCATTTCCATGACAAGCTGCTGTTTTTGCCAAGTTGTTCTCCACGAGTGACAACTTTAATTAAGACTAAAAGGAGAGCAACAGATGTTTCTTAACCTCCATAATAATATTTAATGCCAGAGCTCTATAAATATTTTACGGTTGAAGATCTTTGCCCCGAGCTTTTTCAAAACTGACTCATCCTAAAATCCAGCAAAAACACAAATTTGTTTAAAGTTCTGCACGGGTTCTTCAGAAATAAATGCTCTCGAATCGATTCGTATTAGTTGATTTTTCTTTTTTTTTTTTTTTTTTTTTGGTGGAAACAAAGAGTGAGAGAGCTGAAATGTGGCGTGCTGAGAGAAGCAGTTGGTAGAATGATGATTCATCTGTTCTGCTGGGGCTTCTCCTTGTGCAGTGGAGCTGGAGGAACCATCTGTCCACGCTGCCTGCCATGCCAGAGGCACGCTCATACTTTCCTTACATGACACTGCATTATGCCAGAGCTGGGGAAACAGACTGTGGTGACATGAGGTGGTGTGTGTGTGTGTGTGTGTGTGTGTGTGTGTGTGTGT